AGCACAAAGTTGGAGTAGGCGTTTTCCGTTGTCAGTCCTGTTGTTTGGGATTGCATGCGGACCACCAAGAAACCTCTCTCTAGATCAGACAACCTGCCACCTGGGAGTAAATTGATGCCATTATCCTCGCATGATGATAAGGCTGTTTCAAGAATTAAATCTATAACAAAGTTAAATAGAAAAGGAGAGAGAGAGGGCAACCCTGACGAACACCACTTTCCGTGGTGAACTCGGGAGAAAAAGTGCCGTAAGCTCGGACTCGGCTTTTAGTATAAAAGGATTGTAATCTTGAAATTAACTTCTCGGGCACACCTTTCAGGGAAGGACAGTGCCACAGTTTAGAACGGTCGAGTGGGTCGAAAGGCGCTTTCAGATCCAGGAAGACAGAGATGATGGGTCTTCGAAAGGAATTTCAGTGGTCCAGAGTTTGGTGGAGAGTGAAGATGTAGTCGATACAACCTCGACTAGGTCTAAAATCAGCCTGGTTCTCACGCCTGCACCGGTCACGAGTGGCAGACAATCGACGGAGTGTGATGCCAGCAAGAAGTTTGGAGACGATGTTGATTAAGCTTATCCCCTGTGGTTTTCACAAGAGGACCTATCACCATTCTTGTAAATCGATATGATGACCGATCCACACCATTCAGTTGGAACCTGTTCCTTCTTCCACACTGAGCCTAGAAATTTCGTTAACTCCGAAACTAAGGCTGAACCTCCATCCTTAAAAGCCGACGGAGACAGGCCGTCTGGGCCGAAGGCTTAATGCCTTTCTAAATAAGTCATTTACCGGGAAACCTCCATTTCAGATGGAGGACTGGCATCAACTGGGCGTATTTGTTCAGTCAATGTGGAGAGTGACAGTTTAAATGTCGATGGGGGCCAGTTGAACTGAGCCTCGAAATGTTCATCCCACCGATTAGGACGGCGATGCTGATCGTCAATCAGTGTGCCATCGGAGAATGATAAACTGTTAGTTTTAAATCAATGCAGTTCAAAAACCATTAGCCAAGCGTAATGGCACTTTCGTTACGACGGAAACCGGCCCATAAATGACAAGGAATATTGCACCGAGTAAGACTTAATAAAACCCATGTCAAAAAAATTGAATTCAAACGCTTCATTTCATCGCCCCTGATTTCACTTCTCAAACTCACCGATGGGAATTTGTGTGGCTAAAGGCGAAGAGATGGTAGAGAAATTTAGCTCCGGTGATCCATAATGTATGGGCATCTGGCGACCCTTGTTCACGTCTCCAGCGTTCGAATAGCACTGGTCCATCATTTGTTCTAGGGTGAAACCTCGCCACAACAGCACACCAGCTTCACGATACTGTCCGTAAATAAAATCATCTATAAGAATACGAAATCCACAGTATTTGTGGGTGTGTGCTCATATTTCAACTTGCTCTCTTTGAAAGCGGCAGCAGAACCCACTTGTGCGGCTTCCTCTCCATAATTGGTCATATAGAACGAAATTCGACCTTGGCGCTGTGATTCATACATGATACGATCCATCGTGTTGAGTAGTATCATTGTACGAAACATTTTCAAGACAAAATCCTTGTCAAGCTGTAAGGCTGATATAGAACAATCAGGAATAGTAATCTACATCTGGTTCGCTTTCCGGATCAAGCGCAACGCCATTCTGATCGAGAACACGATAAATTGGGATGGGTTTCCGATTGTTCGGATGAATTAGCTCTAATTTCGGGGTATAATTCGTCGGAATAGGCTGGGCGGCAAATTTTGCCGTGGAAAACTGGAAAAACAATGGTCGAAACTGTAGAACGAACAAAACGCACCCTGAGGGCAGATGATAGAATGGTTGGTAATCGGACCAAGGTTGGGCACACTCGATGCATCGCAAAACAGAAATAGGTTGCACTGGAATAGAGAGAAATAACATGAGTTTTAGCACAAAAAAGGAGTAAAAATTAAATCAGAGCACGAAAAATGCATTGCACTGGACCTGAGCCGGGGGAGAATCGGTGAACAGTGATACTCATGTTGTCGTTTCTGATCAGGTTAGATCAATTTGAAGTCACACGTTCGTTTTACATTTCCCTGATTCAGTCTCTCAATTTCAGTTTTTGCAACCATTAACCAACTACTTTCGTGCGCCTGAATTGCTTGCTGTCTTTTGACTACCCATTTAGATAAGACAGCAGAATGAAGATTGGAATGTTGAGAGCAGAGACAAGAGGAAGATAATTTATTCACATGGAATAAGCTTGCAGTCTCTCAGCACAAAGTACAGGGACACCGTGAACTATAAACTACCCTATTCCAATGACCATACTTTTGAAATGCGGGATTATTTCTGAAAAATTACCCACCGTCTGTGGACGACAAATTCACATGGACTTCGATACACATGGCTTTGTTATGACGAACGTGAAACAATTTCCGGTGCACCGAAATCCATTCGAATTTTTCGTCCAGAGGCTGACTCAGGTAATTCATTCTTACCGTTTAAGCATATTCCTCTACAATAACTGAACTGATTGAAGCCTCGGTATCATCCGCACTAGATACCTGTCGCGGTATAGCTTTACGGACTAAAATGTCTTCAAGTGCAGTAAACGTCATGCTGAGGTAAATGAGAGTACGGTTTCCTGATCCCCCCGAGGACAGTCAAACATTCCTCGAGAATCCGAGGCTAACCAGATCAATTGCAGTATCTGGCAACCACTTTGTCCATATTGGTTTATCGGAATCAATGGATAGAGTCCTCATGGATTATGTTGTACATGAATCCATGAAAGTTCGATTGCAGCTTGTCATTGACGGACTAACTTTGTTTCGCAGTTCTCGATGGCAATTATCGCCCGTACTTGGTCGTCTTGTTTCTCCACAGACAGTTGTCTTTCTCATCGGGGTGTACTGCGGTATGAGCAAACCGACGAATGTCATGCAATTGCTTACGCTCCTCATCAATGAACCACGTAAATCAAAACCAGCGGGTATCCATTTACCGTCCAGGAACATCAGTATTGAACGGCATTCAATTGGACTGCGTCATCGGTGATGCTCCAGGCCGATCGCTAGTCAAGCAGACAGTGTCACAGTGACTACAGGTCTTGTGATAGGTACACGATAGTGGGTGTTCACGTTGGCAAGAAGGTGATATTCCCAACAGACTAATATGAACAGCGACTGGATCTCGATTTCCGAACCAGAAGCGACGATGCCCATCATGTTGGTGAATCACCATCATCAACTCTTGCTTATAGACATGACACACGTGTTCCCGTTGGAATACATGCACTTGGTTTGTTTAGGGTTCTGTAAGCGTCTATTCAAACTGTGCAGGACAGGACCTATTAGTAACAATACCAGACTCAGTGCTACGAACTTGGGACGAATATCTGATCGGCTAGATAAAGTTCTATCCCGTCTACTGTGCGACTTTAAAAAAAACTATAGGGTTTTGATGATTTCGAACATTGTAAAGTCACGGAATTTCCCAGTTCTTGGTTCAGTTATCTTGGAAGGAATACTGGACGATTTTAAGTATGAGAACTTCTCAAACTTCTCAATTTGCTTCTACTTGCTATCACATCCCGTGCAGTGCACTGCAGTATGCTGATTTTGTTCAACAGATGCTATACAATTTACTGAACCAGCTCTCAACAATCTATGGTGAGCAAGAGACCGTGCACAATACGCATTAACTCACCTCGCTGACAAAGTACAACTTCGGGGGGGGGGGCGAGGCGAGGCTTCACCAATATTCAGCCTTTCCGTTCCAACCGTATATGGGCGGATTGTTTGGTCCAAAAGAATGCCAGCGGAACAAATATTTAGAATTACAGAACGTTGACTAAGTCTACTGGTCGGGTGTCAGGGGCCTTTTGACGACACCCTCTGTATAATGACTCTTCGAGTTGCAACGGGCAGCCGACTGTACATGTGTAATTTTGTACTAACAGCTTGCAAACCGGACAACGCAATGATAGTGAGTGGCAAACCTGGATTTGTTTTGGAAGCGGAGTCCGGGTTGTTAAGCGTTCAACCATTTGCCGTGGTGAAACCGTTCTTCACAAAGTGCATACCACCAACCGATTTACATGTCTTCAAGTGCAAACAACCAAAACAAGAAGTGACACTGGTTGAGAAGAACAGAGTTCAAAGCAACTGTGTAGCAATTCCACGGAAATCAGGTTGGTCATTCTTCCCGCTGTTGCATGCCATCTCTCCCTCAAGGTAAGGATCAGTGTAAATAGTTGTAACTGCATGCACATTTTATGAACGATGTTAATACCCAGTTAGCAATTCGGAGTCAACAAAATATTGTGCACTTGTTTCTTTATAGCAAACGATGTTTAAACTGGATGTTATTTTTAATTTAGTGAGACAGACGTAGCGATAAGTATCCCTGGGCAATGTTATTTATCGACGTTCATCTAAAACCTTTCAGATGTTTTCCATCGTGGAATTCAAGGATAACTCGGTGGCCAATGTACACGAAAATTGGTTTTTGTTAAAATCAAGAGTCGAATTGCCAGAAACAGCACAAGTTCATACTGTTTTTCAGTTTTTCAGTCTGAACCGCCATTAACCATGCACTTTCGTGCGCCGGTTTTGGTTGCTGTCTTTTGGCTGCCCATTGGGATGAAGAATAGGAGAAGGAAAGTTGAAGTGGATTCGAAAAGAAAATGGAGAAGTTCAGTGGACTAAGGTTGCAAAGAAATTGAGAAGATGCAAGAAGGCCACTGTTTACGACACCCAACCATATCGCTCAGTATCTCTGACCAACGGTTACGATCATCCCGAGGTCCCCAACCAGGGAGCCTAATGGGGCCTATGTGACCTAGTCTCCTGGTTAGGGTTTTCATACCCTCATGCCAG